GGGGGGGGGGGGAGAGAGAGAGTCGAACCCTCGATAGTTCTATGTTAAAAACTATACCGATTTTCAAGACTGGGGCTATCAACCGTCATCCATCTCTCTGAAAAACTATTTTTATTTTATTCCTCCGAAAGAACATGGCCATAGGGGTGGATACCCCCACTATCTGTGGAAAGATCTCAGGTGTGAATTTACCGGTCGATCTATCTATCCGTATATAGATATATGGTCTAGCATACCCATTTATGAAATAAAAAATAAAATTCCATTTTCCCCCACCCCACTCCATGTACGGATAAAGATGAAAGGGGTAGTAATAAGACATATATAATTAATGGATTCATGATAAGTTAAATTCCTCGATGACATATTTTATCATAATTAATATTTTTTGGCTGATAGAGGGATCAAACGATATATAGTTCATCTATTGGTAGCTTGGAAGATTAAAAGTAAATTGATTGTTTTTGCATTAATAGCTACTTTATTAATCATATTGATTAGCATCGCTGTATTTGCTTCTCCTGATGGCTGGTCAAGTAATAAAAATATTGTATTTTCTGGTACATTCTTATGGATTGGATTAGTCTTTCTGGTAGGTATCCTTTATTCTCTCATCTCTTGAACCTATTCATCGCAGACTCAAAACCAAAATGACTAAATTTTTTCGATTGTGTGACGACCTGATAGGTCATTTTGAGTACTAACTCTTATTTTCATATTCTGAGATCTCTATTAACTCCATTTAATATTTTTCGATTTGCGTTGCGCCGTCCATGTCTTTTTCTGAAAAGATTTTATGTGAAAATTTAAAGAAAATATGATTTTTGGCTTTAAAAATAACTTGAGTTGACTACGGTCAACATTTTATGTAAACGAACCCTGATAGATATTTTAATGATTCCAGTGGGTCCGTACCGTAATTTTGGACTTGGACGTATGCCCGTAATTGAATACGGAAGATTTTAACCTGATTTGACTTTTTTTGACAAAAGCTAGTAATTTGAAGGTTTTGAAATTTCTTAGGTTTGACCGTGGGTTGACTTTATGGTTACTGGATTCAAATTTTGGTTTCGAGACTTGTTATAGGCCTGTTTTTGCTATTGATGCTTGTCTGCAAAATTTGGTGCAAATCAGAGTTGGTTTGATAGGATTCAGGTGCTCCGTTGTGATTTTAGAAGTTCTTCCATTTTCTTTGAAATTTGATGCATTTTGACATCTGATTCGTAGGTCTAGGTGTTTTTTGGTGTTTTGATCATGGGAGAGTTCTTATGATGTTATTACACTTGTGTGCATGTTTGGTTTTGGCGCCCGAGGGGCTCGGGTGAGTTTCGGATAGGCAATGGATCATTTTTGGACTTAAGAGAGAGTTGGTTTCAGCTGTTACTGGTGTCTGACACCTTGTGCTTCGGATCGTGAAGCTATTGTTGCGATCGCGAAGGGGAAAATGGGACTGAGGCGGAATTTTTCTTCACGAACACGGGGACACGGTCGCGAACGCGAAGTAGTGGGGGGCTTACCCTTCGCGAACGCAACCGTCCTCTCGCGGATGCGTAAGGTTATGGGGTTCTGGAGGAAGTCTGTCCGTTACTATTCGCGAACACGTTCCATGGCTCGGGAATGCGAAGGCAGGGGGAGTAAGCCTTCGCGAACTCGAAGAGTGGCTCGCGAACGCGAAGGCCTTGGGCCGCTGATGCTCCGCGGATGCGTCAGGTGCTTCGCGAACGTGAAGAACACTTGACGCCCAGGTATTAAACATTTCAAAAGTTGGGATTTGAGTCATTTTTCACCATTTTCAAGTTTGAGCTCGGCCTAGAGGTGTCTTTTAAGAGTTTTTTCATCCCAACTTCATTGGTTAGTATATTTAACTTATTTTATCACATTTTTATAAACACCCATTGATTTTAACCTTAATCTAAGATTTTTTATGGTAGAAATTAGGAATTTTGAGAAATTGAGATTTAGACCTCAAATTGAGGTAGGATTTCGAAACTAATTATATAACCGGGCTCGGGGTGAATGGGTAATTGGATTTTGGTCCGAGTCTCGGATTTTAACCAAGCGGGTCGGGGGCTTGACTTTTGTTGACTTTTTCCAAAATCATTTAAGATTGAATCTTTTTGACTCACGGGTAGTTTCTAAAGCCTATTTTGAATTATTTGTACAATATTTGGCTAGATTGATTAGTTTGGAGGCTAATTCTGGAGGAAAAGCCGCGATTAAGCATTGATTTGGTTGCGGAGTGAGGTAGGTGTCGTGGTTAACCTTGACTTGAGGGATTAGGACTTGCTGGTCTATTTGCTACATGTATTATGTGTGGGGATAACGTATATGTGAGATACCGAGTATATGTGCGTTGTCATTAGGTTAAAATGCGGGTGAAAATTATTTCTCTATATTATATTGTTTCATTGAC